TTTATTCATTTAATATTTTTATTTATTTATTCATTAATTTATTTTTTTAATTTATAATATCACAATTATTTATGTAAAATTTATATGTATATATTATTTAGTTGGTTATTCATTCAATTATTCATTTATTCATTTATTTATTAATTCATTTAATTATTAATTTACTTATTTATTTATTCATTTAACTATTTATTTATTTGATATCATAAATACTCTATGTAAAAGATCTATTTATTTACATGTTTATTCATCTATTTATTTATTCATCTATTTTTTATTCATTTAAGTATTTTTTATTTATTAATTTAATTATTTATTGATTTATAATATCATAAATACTGTATGTAAAATTTATATTTATTTATTTAGTTAGTTATTTTTTCATTTAATTAGTCATATATTCATTTTATTATTCATTTAATTATTCATTCATTTAATTATTTATTTATTTATGTCATCACAAATACTATATGTAAAATATTTATTTAGTTATTTATTCATTTAATTGTTTATTTATTTATTCATTCAATTATTATTTATTTGTGACATCACAAATACAGTATGTATAATATTTATTCATTTATTTGTTTATTTATCTGATGACATGTTATGGTGACATCACAAACATGTTTTGTGTTCATTTATTTTATTTATTCATTTTTTTGTTTGTTCATTTATTTTTCTTTAATTGTCTGTTCATTTATTTGTTTACTTTTTATTTGTTTATTTATTTGGGTAACGTTGACATCACACGTGTATTATGTTTGTTTATTTACGTGACATATGGTGACATTACAGGAGTCACGGTGGTGCAGTGGGTGGCACGATCGCCTCACATCAAGATGGTCATTGATTCGAGCTCCGGCTGGGCCGGTTGACATTTCTGTGTGGAGTTTGCTTGTTCTCTCCATGTTGGTGTGGGTTTCCTCCGGGTGCTCTCGTTTCCCCCACAGTCCAAAGACATGTAAGAACATGCTATTGGGGAATTGAATAAACTAAATTGGCCGTAGTGTATGAATGTGAATGCAAGAGTGTATGGGTCTTTTCCAGTGTTGGGTTTCAGCTGGAAGGGCATCCGTTGCGTAAAACATTTGCTGGATAAGTTGGTGGTCCATTCCGCTGTGGTGACCTCTGAAACCTCTTAATCGTTGAGCTTAAAAGTCTTAGTTAATGGTTTGTTTTGTGCAGTAATTGTTTTAAGATAAAACATGACTGTAAATCTACACTCATAGATATTTACTGTTAAGTTAATCTAACATTATCTACCTCATTCATTCTGTGTTCAAGATGACATGCGATACTTCATGTATTGGACTTTGCAGTCAGTTTGTCATGCTACAAACACTTTAAAATGTGTATTTGAGTGCTGTTTTCGTGTAGTAAGCTAAAGGAAATATCTAAATATGGAACAGAGAGAAACATCCTCAATGAGCAACATGTTAGTTCCTAAATATCACACTGAAATCCTATTTATTTTCACTTCCTCCGTCTCCCATCTTGTCGCGTGCATCTTAGTCAAGTCTGACCTCAAAAATAAATGAATTAAATAGAGAACAAAAAATTCATTGGAGCTTCATTTGAAGCTTTAGTTTCCATTAAACATAAATACATAGATACACAGTTGATGACAAAATTTGTTGTTTTGCGGTGAAATCTGTGTTTATTTTCTAATAATAGTGCTGTTTAACGATGAAGTGAAATTGTTACAGTATTTGCTACTATTTTTATAGTCTTTAAGTTTGGCTGAAATATTAAATAAACATTCATTCAGTCATTTTCCTTCACCTTAGTCCCTTTATTAATCAGGGGTCGCCACAGCGGAATGAACCGCCAACTTATCCAGCATATGTTTTACACAACGGATGCCCTTCCAGCTGCAACTCAGTACTGGGAAACACCCATGCATGCTCACATTCACACACATACACTACGGCCAATTTAGTTTATTGAATTTACCTATAGCGCATGTGTTTGCATATATATATATATATATATATATATATATATATATATATATATATATATATATATATATATATATATATATATATATATATATATATATATATATATATATATATATATATATATATATATATATATATATATATATATATATATATATATATATATATATATATATATATATATATATATATATATATATATATATATATATATATATATATATATATATATATATATATATATATATATATATATATATATATATATATATATATATATATATATATATATATATATATATATATATATATATATATATATATATATATATATATATATATATATATATATATATATATATATATATATATATATATATATATATATATATATATATATATATATATATATATATATATATATATATATATATATATATATATATATATATATATATATATATATATATATATATATATATATATATATATATATATATATATATATATATATATATATATATATATATATATATATATATATATATATATATATATATATATAT